ATGAGCGACTCGGCGCTAGTTGAGATAGGTTTAAAAAAATAGCTAGATAATTGTAATTGGGAAATGATATTTGAGAATAATTGAGATAATTGAGAAATGATTTAATCTTTTCGTTCAGGCTGCTCTTATGGAAGTGAATTGTGTGACAAATATGCAACTAGTTGCTAAGGCCGGAGTTGTTTGACCGACTGTCTGAAATGTGGATAACGTAGATGCATGGATGCTTGCTGTTAATAAATATATTCACATTCAGAAGTTGCATTGGTTCGCTGAGAACTGCTGACTGTGTCCGTGTGTTCTCAAATATAGTCTTTGGATTTCGTTACCAATAAATGAAACACGTATGTTCTTCTTCTCTGTGATTCTCTGCTTTTTCTTTTCTGGATTTTTGGTTCGGATCGTAATAAACAATGGTGTCAGTCGAACCAAGGTCATAGCAAATTACGGTGCAATGGAATCAGCGTGAACGAAACTCAGAATGCACCATTTTGGAGATTTGAAATCTCTATTAGAATCCGTGTTCAGTTCGCAACTTTTTATGAGCTTTTTTGAGAGGAGATAACACCGAAATAAGTAGTGTCTAGAAGCTATAGGAGCGATGCGTAAGTCTTAGCAGATTACGGTGTGATGGAACGTGTGCTGACCAAAAAAGACTCCTTTAGAGTGATTGGATTTCTCAGTTTCTCATGTTTAATTAGGGTTTTGCTTGCGAATGCCATTTTGGATTCTTCAGTGGATTTGTCACACTTATTGATTAGGTGATTATGTGGTTCCCGTAAACACCATTGCAGATCATCCTCGATTAACGTTTATTTTCAAGATTATTTCTGATTGCTGACATTTCCGTTATTATCATTCGTTATTTATAATCATTCAGATTGTTTATTGTTACTTGAACGCCGAGTGGTTGTTCTGTCAATCGCTGCGAGCGATCGGCGGAATGTTTAAATTACTAGAGTTATGATTATTTATTGGATTGATATTAGGCTACGATTAATTATGCAAAATATTCATGGCAACTAGCTAATTACTCGGTTGTGTTCGGTTGGCCTGCTCGCCTAGCCAGTGGGTAGGCGTTATACTGATGCTAAAACGATGTGCACGGAAACGTGAGCATTGTGGCCAGCAACGTTGCAAACGTTTGATAGGCTTGCCAATCCGTTTGCGTCTTGAATTGTTTTCTCAGTATCCATTTGATGATTGCTTACGATGATTCAATTTATTCCATTTGATATGGTTACCTATCAGT